GGGTCACTTGTCTTTCTCACATACCTCACTGTTAGTCGTCTTAACAGTAGGTTTTCCAGAAAGCCTCCCATGTTCATATCCGTTATTGGAAGCCCTGAGACTCCAGGACTCCAGTGAGAATGGAGGAATCTGTTTGAGGTTTTTCACCCAATTGTCTCTATAAGTAAATGATTTAAAATTTCTTTCAAAGGTAATGAATGCTTTCAGGGAAAAAAAATGAGTTTATAAGAACAAAACACCTCTTATTCTCTATTGGGTTGTCAACCTGAAGAAAACAACCAGAACCTGAAATTGCTTTGGACAGAAAATAAGATGCTTCCTTCCTATGTCTCTGCCACCCTCCCCTCCTTGCCTTTGCCTTTACTCGCCTGACCTCTCTCTCTCTCTTTTTCGGGGGAGGAAGACTGATAAAGTATATGGTGCTGTAGGCTTAGTAAACTGTTTGCCATAGCTCAGCTGGCCCAACCTAGGGTGCTGGTGGAAATGAAGGTAAGTTTTCTCTTTTAAAATATATTTGGTGTTCTTAACCCTAACACAGTCCGTCATTTCGAGTGTTTATCATACCATTGAAATGTATAATCACGTGCCTTTTGCTACACCTTTCTGAGGGACTCAATTTCGTATTTTGTTATGCACTGTAGCAGTTTTGACTCATGTGAAACATGGTTCCAAGAGAAATCAAGTTGTTGTTTCTTTCTCTTTCTTGGACAAGTAGAAAGATATTCAGGTAATGCAGAGTGATTATCGTACAGATATTGCCCTCTTCATCCCTGCCCCTTTACCCCAAGCAAAGTAAGTTTCCACTCTTACCTACCCACTTTTGGAGATAGTCCTTTGTGGCAGATGGAAGGAATTTCTCCTCCCTGTGTATGAGCAAAACCACCATGTTTGGGCAGGTTTTAGAAATTTATTGACAAACTAATGTATGTTGGGGTGTCTTGTAGTTGTACTGGTTATGTTGCTCCTGGGGGGAATAATAAATTCATGTAATATGAACAGTCTACTAAAAAGCAACAACAAGAAATAAAAAGAAAACAACTAAATAGGCTCAAAATAGTTAAAATCCAGAGTCCACCTTGTGAAGGTGTGTGCCTGTAGTAATACCCAAATACAGATTTTTCCCACACACTCCCTTTCCCTGTTCCCCTCCCCAGAGGGAACAATCTACTAATATCTATCTAAGTCATCTTCCTCCAAGCAATCAGCAGTGATTTGTCTCTCAAAGAATGCTTTTCTCCTCATTTTTCACTTTTATTTTAGTATTAGTTCTGGCTTCTTAAAGAAATAGGTCTTCCACAGGGTTACTGTAGCTAGGTTAAGAAAATTCTCTATTTGTGTTTTTCATCTGTGACGCCTCATTCTCTATCCCCGTCCATTAGAGAATGATACCATCTTTGGTGAAACATGTCTTAATTAAAAGAGATGATGCTAAGTGAGTTTGCAGTGAGACTAGGTCAAGAGTGAGAATTTGGGTGGTATTGCCCAAGGATTCATTAAGGCTCTTTTTCCTATGATAATAAACATTTGAACACTTCTATAGACCTCTGTATCTCAGAAATCTTCAACTGTAATTTTGCTTCTTTACTCCAGTCACAGGGGTCATTACTTGAGAAATTCAACTATAAGGTGTCAGATAAATTATTAGTTTTCTGTATTTAGAGCAAACAGGGATGAACTAAGCAGCCTAAAGGGAATCAAAATTTTTTCCCTTTGTGATCAATATTTACTATTTAAACTATAAAAGAAGGAAACATGCATCTAATACTCACATCCAATATGTGTCTAATCACAGATCACCTTTCTCCTGGCTACAAAAAAAGAAAAAGGACAATGCAGGAAAAGTAGTGGCTTTGAGTATTTTTTTTAATGTTTAAAAAACTAAATTCCCATCAGTTCCTTTTAAAAATCCAATTTAAAAAAGAAAGTTCTTCTCCTTATCTGGACCATCCTTTTTGTAAAGGGAAGAACTTTATACACCGTTTTCCTGATGCTTCTTCACCGGCTTTGTGCTTGAATCTTCCACAGAAGTCTTCCCTAGACAAAAGCCTCCTTCTTTGAAAACCTAACAGTTTGTATGTTTCAACTTTCGACTTGTGTCTGCATCTTCTATCACTTACCAGGCCCGTTTTATGCTTAGGCTACAGATTGGATTTGCTCTTCCCCTCTATTTGCCTACATTTCCAGCTGAGTTTAAACATCACTTTCTCTCTGGTAGGATGCATTGACCTTTTGACTTGATGAAAGATAAATGCCATTGACTCTCCACTTTTGGAAGATGAGATTTTTTTTCAGAAGCTCACTACGATTTCTATATTTATTGCTTGAAAATGAATATTGAATAATACTCATTTCCCTACCATTTTAATGAGATGGGTATGGATTTTTTTCCTACTGTCAGAGTAACAAGAATTATTGGGGTGAGAGACAGCATGAGAGGTTTTAGGTGTTTTTTGTTTTTTTTTTTTTTTTT